CCTACCTACCTACCTACCTACCTACCTACCTACCTACCTACCTACCTACTTATTTTAATATCTATATTTTTGGGGAATGGGACATTTTATGATGTTTCTCCTCTGTGGGGCCATTTGGAGAGCAAGTGTATAAGTTTGAAATCTTAGCAAGTTTTAGTGTCCAGGTATACTAAACAGGAATCTTTGTTTCCTGACTTGAAAGTTGCCAGACACTTTTAAGTATTAATAGGGAAGCAGTTACATTTTGATCCTGAATAACATGAGAAATTGAAGTTGTAGAACAATTTAAATGTGAAAATAGTGGGGAAGATGTTTTATTGAATACTTGGGCAGAACAAGGGATTAACACTTTAAATTGATCTCTAATGGTTGTTTTAAATGTTTTGAGAGATTGCATATTGACTATGATTTACTTACAGTACTTGCTTGGCAATAAATATAATTGAAACATGTACTAACTAAATAATGTGCCCCCCAAGGTATCTGCAATTTAGGTCCCTTAAGAAATGCAGCAATAGAACAGAAACCAATAATTACATTTTATGATACGTTAAAAAGTAAAATGAATGTTAGTATTAATTATATATCTCAGTTGCAGGATGAAGAATTGGAATATCCAATTTTGGAGAATCAGTAGGTCCAGGTGTTATGAAGTGTGAAATATATTTGTGTGAAATATATTTGTGATGATTTAAAATGAAATTAATTCATCAACAAATATTGTTTCATGTTTATTGAAATAATATTTAAAAAGGGATTATAACTGGGCTTTTTATGTTGGCATTGTAAGAAATTTGTAGGTTCTTTACCTCATATGATTTGGTCTTGTCCAGCTGTAGCCTTGTTTTGGTTTCAAACCAGTCCATATGACAATACAATTTGGGAAGAAATATTTTAGTTAAGGATCTCAGTATGATGTTGAATTATATTCCTAAAATACTGAGTCCGTCATCTCATCAAGAGCTTTGGCTCTTTCAAGCCAGGAGCAGAGTGAAGAGGCTAATTCTACGTAACTGGAAAGAAACTTACTCTCCTGATTTTCAGGAATAGATCCAGGATGTGAGTTCATTATTTATTTTTGAAAAGTCTTTGTGTTCTAAAAATGAGATGATGCAATAAGTTGATATATGATCCAGATTTAATGATAAGCTTAAGGATTTAATTAATTTTATATAGTTACGTATAGTTATTATAGGAATGTTTTTTTCTGTTTAATGTTTTTCTTTTGTCATGTTTATTTTACACATAATAATATATCTAGGTTTCCTTTTTTCACTGTATAACCACCGTATTTCTTCCCCCCCCCCCATTGGTGATATAATTTTTTTCTTTTGTATTTCAGTATTTTAAAATTAAAATAAAAAAAGTTTTGGGTCATTAATATTTAGAGTATTCATTTCAGTTCCTTTCTTCAAAACATTACAGGCAGTCCCCGGATTAAGAACATCCAATTTATAGACAACTTGTACTTACGAACGGGCTGCCTATTACTAAAAATGGCATACAGTGTTCTCCTTCCTCGAGCCGACAAACCCCTGAAGCCACACAATGTTTTCATGAACTGTTGAAAATGACTGAAAACAGGCTGTATATTAAAAATGCACAGCCTCAGCGGTTCATGAAAACATTGCGCAGCTTCAGCAGTTTGTCAGCTCAAAGAAGGAGAACGCTGTCCACCATTTTTAGTAATAGGCACCCTGTTCATTTGTACAAGTTCTGACTTACATACACATTCAAATTAAAGGAACGGAGCTTGTTCTTAACCCAGGGACTGCCTATACTATCATTACCATAACATTTTTAAAGATTCCTTCCATCACTTCCTTACTTCAGCTTTGCATGAAATCATTTTATTATTTTATTTTAATTCTATTCACTTGGGTAAAGGCTCCTTGTTTAGCCTCCCTTACGCACCACTGAAACAATTGTTTATTTCTATCAAAATTGTGATGTACTTTCTCTCCCTCTTCTCATCTTCACTATTTCTTGGTCCCCTTGACTGCATTTTTTGTAACTGTGTCTTGTTTCTCCTTATGCATTAGATATCTTTTTTACATTCTGAATTTTTACAGCAATCATTTTCTTATATGTGTTTTTTTTCATACAAAGCCTGTTTTACTTCATCATTCCACCAAGCATCCTTTTCCATGCAGCCCATTAACATAACTCTACATACTTCTGTGGCATTCTGTAACACAATTCACTTTATTCGATGCTTCCACATTCTCTTTTCTTCTAATTCTTCAATTTATCATAAGCCATCAAGTAAATCATCATTTTAGATTTATATTCACTCCTTTGCCATGTGTATGCATGAATATACTTATGGTTAAAGCACTACTGAAAATAAACAGAATATTTTCCAAACAGATACATATCAAACCATGATAATTCTCACTCATCTTGGGTGTCTGAATGGCTCAGTCACTTTTTCTGTACTCTCATCTTGTTCAAAATCATCTATTCATGTCATCTAGAAGGATATATTTCTCCTGGATTACACTCATTCAGAATGTTGTAGAAATTTCCCATAAACAAACATGTCCATTATCGAACATTCACTGGATTTCAAACAAAGATATCCAGCCCTTAACCTATTCCCATTAACATTCTCTTTGAAGAATAGTATACTTGTAAAAAAGGAGTGTTTAAAAGTTTAACACAGTTAAAAAGACTGTGATTTTTTTTTTAAAGCAAAATGTGGATTCCTAGATTCTTTATAATGTTGCATTTATATATTAGATTCCAGGCGGAAAATAGTAAAAAAATTAGAAACTGTAAAACCAGAATACATCTACTCAAATCAATAGAAAACAGACTACGCTGATATGCACTACTATGCACTCCTGAGTTTGGACTTGTTTTCTGAATAACAAAAAGATGGGAGCCTTTCTGATCTTGGGGGACAGAGTATTCCAAAGTGAGGGGGCTGCTACTGAGAAGGATGTCCTAATAGGCCCCTCTGCACTGAATGGGCAGATTCCATCTGCAGCAGATGGGCCTAAAGGTAATCAGAGCCCAAGCCCTATAGAGCTTTACAGGTAATCACCATCGCCTTGAATCAGTCCCAGAAGCCTACTGGCGATCAAAGTAGCTCCTGCAAAATAGGTGCTTTGCTATTAAACGAGTTTTAGTCTATTCTAAATTCTATTGTTTATGCTGGAGGGTAACACCATATTCGTAAGAGTGTACTGTCTAGATTTGTTATAGACTTGTTGGGGTAAAAATTCCATTACCTTTTAACAAAGCTGTCAAGATAGCCAGATCAATATCCTGGTGTCCTTCTGATCCCATGCGAAATACTGTAATCTGAAATGCAAAAATAAGCAAATGTGGCACTAATATAAACAGAAAGCTATTAAAACAATATGTAATATTTGCAGAGAGTCTGTTCAGAGATATTGTGAGCAAACAAAACTGGTTTCTATTAATACAGGAAGACAGATTCATAATACATAGCAAATATTAAAGATTTAATAGAACCAGAGTCATCTTGTGTGTTCAGAATTGCTATATGAATTAAATATTATGCACAAGTCATAATAATTCCTTCTCCTTGGCAACTATTGAGGGTAAGTAATTAGAACACATAAGTTGCAGAAAACCATTAATAGAGCAGTTGTCAAACTTCGTAGCAAAGATACCATCACGATTTATATTGGTTGAGGGCACTGTAGCACCGTGTCACCACTGTCCATCCATTTCAAAGCACTGATATGCTGTAATACAGATTTATTCAGTACAAGCATCTTTTAAAATCTGAGTCTGTGGTGCATATGGAAAAATTGTCAGATGTTTCTTCTATCCATGCAGCACAAATGAAATCAGATAGAATGTCCCCTAACCATGCCATACCTGTACAAGTAAATCACAGCATCCTCATTAACGATGAATCAGAGAACTCTGCAAGTAGATAAACCTAATCTAATAACCAGAAAAGTGAAATATAGAGATTATACGCCAGTATCAACTTTTGTTGTGGATAGTAACATTCGCCTAGTATCAAGCCTGTTAACATAGGATCAGTGGGGTTCCCATGGCAACCAGGAGGGTATTTTTTCTTGTATGCAAACAACAGAAATGTAGCAATCAACAGTTACAAAGGGATGTGCTAAATACACAAATGTATGCCCTCCAAAACCACATTCTTCACTGATGCCTGTATTTGTGCTAGGGACAATGACAACAGGATTTCATTAAGGAACGACTGAGCAACAATCAACAAATACGCAGGGAACTCTTAAAAAAAGAAGTATGATATAGTCTCAAATGAATCAATAGGTAGCAAAAAGGGGAGGGGAGAATAAGAAAGCCAACATTCACTTGCCAATAATGATACTTTCAGATGAGGCTTGTAAATGCCTGCAACTGGGAATAGAAAAGTCAATGCAAATAACTGCATCATGTACACCAGCAGTACATAACCTTTTATGGCTTAGAGGTGCACTTGGTCTTTGAGTAATATGCTGGGGGCTGCATTCTATAAAGTGAACAGGGCCAGATAAAGAATTGAGTGGGACTGGAATGAATACCAATTTTTTCTACACATATTCAATACAGCAACTTTGAAAATAGCTGGGAGGGCTGAAACCAAGCTATGTGTATTCTCAGTGGAAATAATGTATAATCTCTTACTAAGATTCTATGCTTACTCTTTAATGTATTTTTAAAAATAATACCTTTTATTTTTTAAAAAATGAACTGGCATGCTTATTTTATGTATAGCTTCATATATGCTTTGGTTCTCAAACTTTTCTCTTTCTCAAATCTTCCATTCCCCTTCAGACCCTCCTCACAAAATACTTTTGGCCAAAAATAACAATACTAAGTATTCTGCACAACTATAGTTTTTCACTTACAAAATGAGAGTTTTCATCATGTTAAACTTCTAAATATCTTAGATGAGGTCCTCCAAGTCTTCATTTTTGTGCATGTAATTAAATATGATTTAACACCATAGTACCCATGAAGAGGCTACTGATATTTTTCCTCACCTCTTTTTTCAAGATGATAGACAGTCCCTGGAGAGTTTACTGACAAAGTCAGTTGGATACACTTCAATTTTGACTCCAGGTTGAGGAGACATCACAGTCAGCAATTGCTAGTCTGGTTAGCTTGGAATCCTTTCATCTTGCAGATTTTGAAGACGTGGACATGGTGTCCAGAGAGGCAAGAAACTCGACCCTTGCCCTTTGTAGCTGGTATATCTCCCATTGGTGGGACTAGCCATGATTAAGATGATCAATATCTTTCAGGTATGACATGTTCCCTCTTGTTTAAAGAAAGTAAATATAAAGAAACTTCCTCTTAACCCAGGACAGCTCAGTAATTATAGCTATTAAATGCACAATTTCTGGTGAAAGGGACTGAGGTGATGCTAACCTGCCAACTCTAGACACTTCTGAGGGTAAATCTAGATTATAAACAAACAAACAAGGCACATTTCATTTGGGTTTTGGGCTATAATTCAGAATTGAGACTGCTTTAGTTTTGTCTTATGGATAATCCATGAAGGAAACTGGAAACATGAAGCACAGTTTGACCATAGTTTCCTGCTGACCAGATTGGGCACTGGGGACAGTGTCCAGAAACCCTGACTCTCATGGCTCCAGCAGTCAGATAGTTTCTCTGATCTGTTGAGGGACAGTGTTAGGCTGTCCATGTAATTACCAGTTACGGGAGGAGGACAGAACTAAAATAACTATAGAGGAGGACAGAACTAAAATAAACCTATAGGAGGACAGAACTAAAATAAAAATAAAATAAGACAATGGAGCTCAGCCATAGGTCTCTCTGCAGCATGTGGAGCAAGATACAGTAGGTGTGGAACTGGAGTCAGGCTCTTCTTCTCAAAAGAATGGGAGGATATACCCACTCCTGGATGACCCGCTCCACATAGTTTGGGCCTTTTAGGTTTCCAGCAGGCATTGTGTTTTTCTCTTCCCACCTCTAATGCAACTTCTGTTAATTAAATATGAGGAATCCTGGAGAACTGGGGAGATGCTGAAAACTGGAGAAGAGCAATGTTGTCTCTCTTTTCAAAAAATGGGAAAAAGGGGGATACCAGTAATTATCAACTGGTGAGCCTGTCATGCATTCCTGGAAAAAAGTTAGAGCAGAGAATAAAAGTAGTCCCTTTGTAAGCATCTTGAAGATGATTGCTATGATTGCTAAGAGCCAACAATAGGTTAAAGAAATTCTCAAAAATAGATCACGTGAGACAAATCTTGTCTCCTTCTTTGACAAGGTAACTACTTTAGTGGACAAGGGGAATGTTTTTTAAAAAGTTAATGACATTCTTATGACAAGCTGTTAAGTGTGGTTTGGATGGCACTACAGTAAGGCGAGTCCATAACTAACTGCCTAGCTAACCGTACTCACAGATTCGGTATTAATGCTCCTATATTGAGTTGGGGAGCTTAATCAGAGGGGTCCTGCAGGGAACTGTCTTGGGGCCAGTATTCCACATTTTTATTTTTTTAAATATAAACTTTATTAAAATTCTACACATAAAATAAACATAGAAAAAACACAATACATAAGCATATACTAAAACATAAACCTATAAATACAAAACTAAATGTCTAACTTAAAAAACATGTTATCCACTTCTGCCCTTCACTTTCCTCATGGATCCATTGACCATTTCTTATTCTTGTATACCACTGTAGTCACTATTTAAATTTTCTGTTATCTCCATTTATTTGATCTATAAAACCCTTTATCATCAAGCTATTTGTCTCTAATTTTGTAATATAATCCATAAATGGACTCTAGTCTTTAATAAAAGCCTCTGTAGATTTCTCTCTCATTAGACATGACAGTTTTGCAAACTCCACCAAATCTATAATTTTAAATATCTAATCTTCAATGTTTGGAGCTTCTTTATTTTTCCATTTCTGTGTGTATAATAATCTTACCACTGTAATTATATATAACAATAAGATATTGTGCTTTTTACTCAGTTCTTCTTCCATAAGTCCTAGTAAGTACAGTACTGGTTTTATCTGAAAAGGGATTATTATTTTCACCAGTGTCCTATGGATTACCAACCAAATTTTTTTGACCACTTCACAAGTCCACCACATACAATAATAGGATCCATCCTCTTTTCTACTTTTCCAACATTTACTCGAAACATTCTTATATATTTTTGATAGTTTCACAGGTGTCAAATACCATCTATACATCATTTTATAATTTTTTTTCTTATATTATTGCACAGAGTAAATTTAGTATTTTTAGTCCACATTTTTATCTAAAAATCCATGTCAATACTGTGCCCAAAATTTAGCATCCATCTAATATTACATTCTTTAACTTGTTCAACATCTGTATCACAGCAATTTATAAATTCTTGCAATTACGTGTTTGTCATCTTTGCATAATTCTATGTCAAATTCATTCTTACTCCCTCCTACACCTCCTTGTTTCACATCATTTTCAAATTGTGCCTTTGTTTGTGAATATTCCTCTGAAGTATAAGTTTTTGCTTCCATAGAATTCAAACAAAGAATGTATGAAAAAACACAGTCAAAAGAATTCATCATCATAAGTTGGGGAAATGGTTTAAGATGTGCCTTCTCCTTCTTGTTACTTGACTCCTATCAATGGTCTCCCATTTCACTGAAGGACATATAGATAGAACAATGGATTCATTGCCTGTTAAGTTTTAATGAATAATTCATGGACAGAAAGCAAGAAAGTTGCCTATGAATCCAGCGTTATTTTCTCCTTTGAGTAGAGGATTATAATTGGATCCAGAATAGAGGGAAGTGTTTAAGCCTAGTCAGAAATGAGCATGCTTAAGAAAAAGGTAAGCTATACATCTATGATCAGGCAATAAATATTCCCCCTTCACAAAAGCCATCTGCAACACATTTTTAATGTGTTGTATTTATCAGTAATGCCCACAAAAGGTACATACAAACTAAAACGTTCCAGATCTTTTCTTTTGTCCAGATGTTCTACCTTAGATGAAATTCCAAGACTTCTAATATTGTAGCACAGGTGTTGCTACAATATGGGCATGCTGCTTGTGTCCAAGACTCATGGGTGGCTTAGTAGAATAATTTGTTATAATGTCCGCCTTACTGAACATAAAAGGAAAAAGCTGAGTTATATTCTAATGTCTTATTGGAAGCACAAAGAATGATAATGCATCAGCACTCTGCATTTTGCTGCTGTTTCAGTTTTTCACTTTGGAGGCAACAGGAATCTAAACAAATATTTGGCCTAAAAGTATAATTATTCATGTTTATTTAACTGCTGCAGATGTAAATTATAAATGCAGAACTACTTTGCTTAAC